GACGGGGGGGGAGAAAACTACTCATTTCTTAATTTCTTATCAGTCTTATCTTTTGGCTCTCAACCTGGAGAGAACAAGCAAGACCCAGAGAAGCAATAGTCAACAGCCAGGGAAGTCATCCAGGTTGACTGGGCATGGTGTAACACGCCTTCAATCCCAGACTCAGGAGGCAGAGGCAGGTAGGGCCACAGTGTCCAGAACAGCCAGGGCTACATAGTGACCCTTACTGGCCAGCAGATCTACAGGAGAAAATGAAACAGGTACCATCCCCAAAGAACAGTGAGCATCAGACACCTGCACACAAGACTGGCACTCCATACCAAGGCATTCAGTTTCTTCAAGTGAGGCAGAGAATGATCACTAAGACTGTTCAGAAGGGAAGTGAGAGGCACACACAGTGTCAGTGCTGAGGACAGGGTCTGGACAGCAAACCAAGACATCTGGCAAAGCGACCTATTTTCCCTCTTCCTCCTCCTCTTTCTCCTTTATTCTTTGAGACAGTATCTATGCAGTGCAGGCTGGTCTCAAACTCATGACCTTACTGCCTCAGCAGCTCAAGCAGCCCAAGTGCTGAAATGACAAGCTCACCACCACAGCTGCCATAACCTATTTCTTTTTTTTTTTTTTTTTTCCTTTTTCCTTCAAGACAGGGTTTCTCTGTAGCTTTGGAGCCTGTCCTGGAACTAGCTCTTGTAGACCAGGCTGGCCTGAACTCACAGAGATCTGCTTGCCTCTGCCTCCCGAGTGCCAGGATTAAAGGCATGCACAACCTTACCCAGCATTCATAACCTATTTCTTACAAAGGCACATCCAGAACATAAAAACTTGTCTGCAAGTCAACATCCTCAAGCCAGGAAAGAACTGCTGCCTTCAATTTCCCTCCCCCCCCCCCCCCCCAGAAAGATGAAAAACAGTTTGGCACTGAACGCCGGGATCCAGATGAGGCAGGGGACAGTCTACGACTCGCGGAGTAGGGGAGCCAAGGAGTCCCCACCTCTCATCCTCCTTGAATAGAGAGAAGAGGTGGCAGCATTCAGACTGACCTATGGACTGGGCGCTGTGACAGGTGGAGAGAGAGCAGGAGCCGGAGGGTCAGTGTGAGCGGAGGCACCAGGCTCTGAATTTCAAGTGGAGCTGCCGCAGGAGGCGGACACCTCAGCCCACAGCTGAGCTGGGCTGGGCTCTGACTCTTTCAGCAGCTCCGCCCCCACCCTCCACAGAAGCACTTGCGAAATCCCTCTCTGCCTGTCACGGGTCAGTCAGTATTCCAGCTTGAGGACTTTACCCTCCTGTCCCCACTCCTGGTCACTGCTCTTTCGGATGAAACCAGAGGTCAGCAAAGACGATAAAGGGTTTTCAGCTCCACACACCCCACCATGCATTCCAGGCCTCGCCGTGGAGGGCAGTGTTCCTTCCCACTCCACCTTAGCACGAATAAATATTTAATTTGTTGAAAAGAGATGGGAGCCTCTCAAAGTGAACAAAACTAAATGTAACTGCCCACACAAGCACACATTCTTCCTAGAGAGAAGCAAAAAACTGAGCAGGAAAGGGAAGAGCAGCAAACCAGACACATGGGGCAGTCCGCGCAGCTCCGTCTCTTCCTCCCCACCTTGTGGTTTAGCCAGATAGGAGTGGGGACCAATGCCTGACCCTGGCATCTGACTACCTCGTTTCGCGGGGCCTAACTTCTCCTCCAGGGAGATCTAAATTCCTAGCCTTGGGCTATCCCGTCACATTTAGTAGGATGTTTTCTCATTAGAACCTCTAGAGGGTTAAGGATACGGAGGACTGGCTGAGGGCCTGCAGGGTGGGTGGAGCCTCTCTCCTGGACTCCGAGAGCAGAGGAATGTCTAGTGCCTTTCTTATCCCTACAAAGAAGGTAAGAGCTAGGGGCTGGGGGTGGGGCAAGTGGGTATCACAGAAACGGCTGAGGGAAAGAAAGCACTAGAACAACACACCAGCCCTCCTCCACCCTGTGAGTGGAGTGGTGTGTAACTAGGGGGTGCGGGCCAGTGGGGGCTGCATGCTGGGCTTCAAGCGTGCTGTGATCAGAGTCCCTGCTGTCCAGAACAGCAGAGAAGCTGACCCAGATCCAGCAGGGAGGGGAAGGGGCTGGAGTTTCCAGCCAGTCTCTTACACATCTCCCCAGAACCAGTCTGCTCCCTGCTGCACCCCAGGCGGCACTGGCACCAGCTCACCAAGACAAGCATCCATAAACATCAGGCCGAGGAAAGGCAACATTCAGCCCCCTCGTCCCTAAGGGTAGATGGAGTCTTGATTACACCTGCAGCTTTTCCACTCACAAAAATTATGCCACCTGCACACACAGAGAGATACGGTGTATGTGTTCATCTACTGGTCTCCCACTCTGCACACCTGCCTCAGACACAGATACCACGCTGGAGAGGGGCCAGTGCGGCAGGGATTTCACAGGCATTGTCTGACTCCCAAATGGAGCAGGTTCAACCTGGCTCCAGCCTCTCCCCAGCAGATGAAAAGGGTGGGAGACAGGTGCCAATGGAGCTTGCAGGCCCAGAGGGATGGAAGGGATAAGTGTAGCTAGCCTGTAAGAAAAACTGCTCAGACTCAATGGATAACAGTCCTAGTGATTCTGTTTGCAGAGAGATTAAAAAAGAGAGGGTCCCACGGGCTCTGGGGTCTGAAGGAGGTTGGAGTAATCTTTCTTGTTGAAAACTTTCCTTCCAGGGAGCATCAGCTGCTCATGGACTTCTCTCTAGCAGGTGAAAAACAATGGGCGAAGTCAAAAGGTGTGTCTCTGCTTCAGGATACTACTACTGCACCAGCCCAAAAATATGGGTCAGATTCTGGCAAAGATGGGGGTGTGAGGTGGCAACCATGCGACCCCAGGCTTCATGTGGCCTAGAGCTTGTCTGAGAAGTTCACAAACTCCACCCCCAACCCAAACTCGTTATAAGAGTGTGGCCCCCAGAGACAGGGAGAAGCCAGCAGGTTTAAGCAGCAGCTGAGTGTGGATGGGTGACGGAAAGGGACAGTATGGGGTCACTCTGCCTGTGGCCAGAGGCCAGAGGGAAAGTGCCCTCTCTCCGGGGCAAAACTCGGCCGGAGGCCCAGTGAGGTGAAAGAGGTATGGGGCAGGAATGGAGACAAGGACAAATTCACACACACACACACAAACACACACACACATACATACGCACACACAAACACACACACATATAAACACACGCACGTGCGCGCACACATCTTAGAAAGTAAGTACTGTGTGGCCAGAACCAGGAACCTAAGAAGCAGTGTTGCAGCCCAATCCTTACCCTCAAGGGCCCCATCACAAGTGCCATCAACAAACTTGAAGCTAGCCACCTCGGTTCTGGGATGGGAAGTGGCTTCTTTCCCCAGCTCTAACATAAACAGAAGTAATTGCCTGCAGGAGGCCTTCCCTAATTCAGTTCTCCGGGAAGACCGCCTCACTCCAGACCTCACGATGCTTACAACTCCCTGACTGCCGAGGCTGGCAACTCAAATAACTGAGATCTGGTTCGGATGCCAGGAGCGCGTCTGAGGCACAGGAACACTCCCAAGCTCATGCCAACGATGAATGTCACGCACCTGCCCTAGCAAACTAGCTCCAGGGCCTCTGAGCCTGTAATTAGCAAGTTGCCACCCGTAAAGCTAGTTTCACCAGCTGCTCCCAGAGCTGGCCACGCACACCCCATAACGGTACAGGAATCTTAGCCCTTTGGGGCCAGGACAGAGCAAGTCTTACTCCTTCCTGTTTCCCGTTCGGCACATGGACGCTCTTAACCTCTCTTCTGGGATGGGCAAAAGGGGCCCAGCAGCAGTGGCTGAGGCGGCGGCGGCCACAGCAGCAGCACCAGGGGCCGCCACCGCTCTTCCCGGGCCTCTCTGCACTCAGGCCCCGGGACGCACGCGGCCCCCCAGGAGGTTCTCGCACCAAAGGTCGGCGTCTTTGGCTCGGGTCCTGGGCGAGCGCCGGGCTCCGGCCCTTACCTGTTGCCCCGCAGGCCTTCTCCCCGCCAAGGCCCCGGCCCGGCCCGGCGCGCTCGCTCCCGCAGTGCTGGGCCCTCCCTCCGGCAGGCCGGCCGCCATGAGCCGGTGGAGTCCCCGGCGCCTTCGAGCTGCGCCCCGAGCCCCCGCGCCTGCCGCCTCCTCGCGGCCCCCACGGCCCCCGCGCACGGCGCACGAACTCACTCGGTGGCCGGTGCAGAGCTGGCCGGCCCGGGCGCCGCTGCTCCGTCTCCTCTCCGAGCGCCCGGCCCGTGCGCACTGGCTGGGCCGGGTCCTCTCCTCCCCCTTCCGCCGCCCGCGGCTCCCTCCCTCCTTCCTCCTCTGCCCGCCGAACCCCGGCGAGCCCAGGCCGAGCCCAGCCGAGGAGGGAAGGCCCCGCGTGCGCCGAGCCGAGCTGGCCGTGGGCCGCGCCTGGGCGGGACCAGAGTCCCGGAACCCCGCGCTGCGCCTGTGGAGCCTCGGAGCCCCGACGGGGCGGGTAGCTCCCGCGCTGGCGGCCGCCCGGGTCTCTGGGTGGCGCGGAGGCGGCCCACCGGGAAGGGGCCCCCAGGCGCCTGAGGACACGGCTCACAGCCGGCTGCCTCTGCCCCACCCCGCGGCCCAGCTGCGGTCGACGGCCTCAGCCCGGCGTGCAGCCCTCAGTTCCTCCCGGGTTGGGGTTGGTTGCCACAGTTCCCGCGCCTGGCCGCGGGGGAGGAATGGCGCAGCCGGGAGCCCCGTCCAGGTCCACCCGGTGAAAGCCCTGCACAGACCCCGAGGCTCCTGGCGGGGAGACCCGCAGTACCCCAGCCCTGCTGTTCGGAGCCCGAACGGAGTTGCTCTCAACTTTTAGTAAAGTGTGCTTCCGTCTCCAGTCGACACTCCATGCTTAGCCGTGATCAGTGTCAAACCAGTTATCCCATAAGTGGCCCCATAAAATTCGTGCTCCAAGGAGAGAGCGGCCTTGACTCCCATTGTGGACAGAACCTGAGTAAGTTGTACTTGAGGGCCTATTTACAGGGAGACCTGCAGCTTCTTCCATGTAAAAAATATTTTTAAAACTATCTGGCCACGCCAGGCAGAGGCAGGTAGATAGAGCTCCGTGAGTTCGAGGCCAGCCTGGTACACAGAGAAACCCTGTCCTGAAAACCCAAAACAAACAAACAAACAAACAAACCTACCTGGCCAGGTTTGGTGGCTCATCCCCAAGCAAGGTCCCAGCTTTTGGGAGACTGAAGCAGAAGTATCATTTTTCACCTTAACGAAACGGTATATTTTAAAAATATGTATTTATTTTATTTTATTGTTTGAATGTTTTGCATGTATGTACATGTACCATGCACACCCCGTGCCGACGGAGTTCAGCAGAGGGCACCAGATTCCCTAGCACTGGAGTTAGATACAGTGTGAGCAGCCATGTGAGTGCTGGGACCAAACCTGCTTCTCTGCAAGAATAAGTGCTCTTTACTGCTGAGCCTTCCCTCCGGCCCGCGAAAGAGCATTTTTATGTCATCGCCAAGCCTGTGGCAGCGGCTTGCTTCACAGTGTATACAGCCAAGCACCAGTACTTTCCAGTTGCCATAGACAGAGGTGTGGCCGCACGACTCTCTCTTGGGAGTCGGCTTCTGGATCTTGGGTGGGTGTAAAGAGGCCTTAGATGACATCCAACCATCCACATGCTTGCTGCGGGGGAAACCCCAGCACGGATTATACACCCCAAGAGCGTGACTGTCTTCTTCGCTCTGCGGGGTCCCCGCGCTCTGCTCTCCCTTCAGTGCTCTTGCCAGAATCTTCTGCCACACAGCCTTGCCGTTTTCCAAGAGAGTTCTTGTGACTGCTCTCTGGGCCCCAGCTAGCCCTCTCCAGCCCAGCCACACCGATGGAGGGACTGTCCCTCTTCTTTCAGTTTATGACTTCTTTTCTTGGGGTTTTGTTTGGTTGGTTTTTGTTTTTGTTTTTTTAATACCTTGCTTTCCTCTGGTCCCCACCAGATTATTTTTTTATTCTATGTGTAATGTTGTTTTGCCTGCATGCATGTCTGTGTACCATGTGCATACAGTGCCCTTGAAGGTTAGAAGTGTGTTTTATATTTTATGTGTGTGTGTAAATTGGTGTTGTGAGCCACCATGTGGGTACTGGGAACTGAACCCAGGCCCTCTGCAAAAGCAACAAGTCGGGCTGGAGAGATGGCTCAGTGGATAAGAGGACTGGCTGCTCTTCCAAAGGTCCTGAGTTCAATTCCCAGCAACCACATGGTGGCTCACAACCATCTGTAATGAGATTTGGCTCCCTCCTCTGGCTTGCGGGCATACATGGAGGCAGAATGTTGTATACATAATAAATAAAATTTAAAAAAAAAAAAGAAAAAAGAGAAGAACATTAAAAAAAAAAAAAGCAACAAGTCCTCGTAATCCCTGAGCCAACTCTCCAGTCCCCCGGATATTTTTTTTTTGAGATAGTAGCTCACTATGTAGCCACGCCTGGTTTCAAACTCAAAGCCAGTTCTCCTGAGTTCTAGATTGGCAGGTGTGAACTATCACGCTCAGCTCCCCCAGACTTTCCAAATGGTTCCTCTGCATAAGTGAAGTGAAGTTTAAAGGAAAGAGAGAGAGAAGGAAGGGGAAAAACAGTGGGGAGCTTTGTGGGCAAAAGCCGGATAATGAGAGCCTGAGAAATGGAGATAAGAAGGTGGACAAAGAGAAGGGGAAAGAAGAGAAACTTGGCCTCGGCCAGCGGCACCAGGATGATGTCCCCACACCCCTCCCCTGGGTAGACCAGGAGATTAGAATCACCACGCCTTTCCAGCATGTCCCCCGCCCTCAGATGGCATTGCCATGCCCACAATGCCCCAAGTGTGCCCTGCTTGCGGTGACTCACTTCCTCTGAATAGGCTGCTGAGGTGTCCCAAGGCAGTCAAAAGGCCATGGGGCCAGAGTTTAGGTATCTGACAGGCTTCTGGGAAGACAGATAACATGGACCCTAATGGCAAAAAGATTTTCTAACTGCAGCCGGCCTATAGAACACAGAATCCTGCCCATCATAGTGACACACTATCAATCCCAGCAGCGGTATAACATAGAAAGTTCTGGAACAGCCAGAGCTAAAACCCCGTTGTGTGTGTGTGTGTGTTATATGTATTTTTGTATTTTTATACATTGCATATATATATAACATATAACACTAAAACCCTATTTTGTGTGTGTTATATGTATTTTTATACATTGCATATATATACACATATATAGCATATAACACACACACAAGCTCACGGAAGCCCACCCGAGTTGAGTATGGAGTCAAACAGGGCTGGTACATGGGGACTGGTGTGAGGGCCTCGTGGTTAAAGGCAAGAGCTGCCAGGCCTCGTAACCTGAGTGGAAGTCCGAAGAGCCACATGGTAGGATGGAATAATTCCTACAGTTGTCATCTAACTTCTACAGGCATGCTGTGGTGCACAAGGCCACACATGTACACAAGACAGACGACAGACAGGCAGACAGACGGATAATAAATATGCAGGGTCCTAAAAGAGAAGAAGAAAGAAAGAAAAGCAAAATGGGGGCAGGGAGTCGGAAGCCGAGGCACTGGGCAGCAGCACAGCTATGCCCTAGTGTTCCACAAGGGACACCCAGGTCACCTGTTCCTCATCAATAGTCTACCTGGACTCTGGTTGGAAGTCCCTGGGTGTGGGAAGTCCCTGCCCTCCTCAAGTCTGTAATGAAGGTGCAGGGTGAATCCTCACTGAGCGGTCCTCTAAGTGTGCAGTCCTAAATTTAGAGCATGGGCCTTGAAGGCAGTCAGTCTGTCCCGGTGTTAAACAAGACCAGACCAGACTGAGAGCGGCGAAATCCCCCCAAGTTTCAGCAGAACTCTGTGAATGCAGCACATACAGCCTGAACACTCGCAGGAAGGCTGTGCTTCGGCCATGTGTGACTGGGTTTCTGTGTGACATCTACGAATTTAGAGTTCAACTCGCAGGTTCTGGCCGGGAGTCCCTTGGGAAGCGTTGGCCAGGGCAAACAGGCGCCCTTACCCCTCCCTCCCTTTCACCGTGACTTGTAGCCAGAATCGATTCTGAAGAGTCAGAAGGCGGGCCGTGTGGTCACCCCATCTGCCTGTCGTGAGTAGTTATCTCGCTGGGGCTCCTTACCTTAGCTGCCACCAAGTCCGCCCAGATCCCAGTGTTCTCGAGAAGCTGTTCTTCTGACAAGTGGATTATAAGAGCCCATTGATAGGCTCAGGTGGAGCAAGGGGCAGCAAGTGACCCCAGGTGATTTATTAAGAATACTCTCAGTGGTTGCTGGTGCCCTCTTGTGGCACTCCTGGGGAATGGCAGGAAAGAACTTAAGCCTGCCAGGATTGGATTTTACAGAAAGAAGCAACTGTTACTAGTATAAATAAGATTGTAACAGTTCTTGTTGCCATATGTTAGCATTTGACATGCATACTTAGTGCTCCGTGACCAGCACTTTTCTCAGGATTTTATATGTATTTGCTAGGATCGAACCTGGGCCTCATCCTTGAGAGGCAATGGCTCTGCCGCTGACCTACACCTCCATCTCAATACCTATTATCTAATTCTCGCAGCAATCTATAACATAAAAACTCTTTTTAAAGATTTATTTCATGTGTATGAGTGTTCCACCTGCATGTCTGTGAGCACACCATGCGTGCTTGGTGCCTGGAGAGGCCAGAAGAAGGCATCAAATCTCCTGGCGCTGGGTGCTAGGGACCGAACCCAGGTCCTCTGCAAGAGAAGCAAGTCTTAACTGCTAAGCCAGCTCTCTCCAGTCTCTTGTTTCTCCTTCTGTGTATATGAGAGAGATTTTGTGTTTTTCAGTGCTGGGGTTGGAACCAGGGACTCGGCTTCTTATTCAGCCTGGTTTTGTTTTTAAAGCGTTATTTTAGTCAAGTGGCGGTCGCACACCTTTAATCTCAGCATGTGGGAGGCAGAGGCAGGAGGATCTCTGTGAGTTTGAGGCCAGCCTGGTCTACATAGCAAGTTCCAGGAAAGCCAGGACTACATAGAAAGACCCTGTCTTTAAAAAAACAAAAACACTTTTTTTATTTTATATGTGTGTTTCAACTACGTATATAGCTGTGCACCATGTACTCGCAGAGCCCAAAGAGGCAAGAAGGGGGCATGGGGTCCCCCAGAACTGGAGTTACAGAAATCCTAAACTGCCCTTGGGTGTTGGGTATTGAACCCTAATCCTCTTCAAGAGCAGCCAGTGCTCTTACCTGCTGAGCCAGCTCTACAGCCTGCCCCCAGGCTTCGTTCTGAGAATAAGGAAACAGCCGGGACAGTCGGGCACCTGTCCAGCTTCGTCACCATTGTCTGCGAAGTCAGAATTCTGTCCTTGAGGGGTCTAGACCTGCAGCTTTCAACTTAGCCACAGTGTAAAGATTAAGCCCTATGGGGGGGGGGGTGTTAGGCAGAGCACAGGCTATCCTATTAGAATTAGTAGAATTTCAGATAAACAATAAATAACTTGTCAGTAGAAATAATCACATTAAATATTTGGGTCATACTTTACCAGCAAATCATTCATTGTTTATCTGAACTAACTTAAGTGGAAGTGGTATATATTTTTATTTATTTAATCTAACACCCCTAATTTGCAAGGTGATTTTTTTTTTATTTTCGAGACAGGGTTTCTCCGTAGCTTTTTGGTTCCTGTCCTGGAACTAGCTCTTATAGACCAGGCTGGCCTCGAACTCACAGAGATCCGCCTGCCTCTGCCTCCTGAGTGCTGGGATTAAAGGTGTGCGCCACCACCACCCGGCTGCAAGGTGATTTTATACTTACATAGATTGCCTCATTTATTCCTCCCAAAGGAACCTATTCTCAGA